TTGTCAGTTAGAGCAGGAGGGGGGGGGGTCGTAACTGGACCCTCTTCGAGGGGGGGGGGGGTAGGTCGTGCTCACACCGCCATTTTGCACATCCCCATGCTGTACCCTGCTCCTGGAAAACTAATCGTCCTGGCACACAGCCTCTTCAGCAGTCATTTCGGGTAATACTCTTTGCTCTCCTCCTCCAACAAATGCATTCGTTAGTTCACCTTTGAAAACGACATTTTCAAATGCACACATAGCTATTCTTTGAAGCTGTGGGGAGCTCCAAAGGAGAAATGGAAGGATTTTAAGTGAGACCCCACTAAAGTCAAACTGATGACTGAAGAGCCATGGATAGCAGAAATTGGCTGTGCACAATAGGAAAGGAGAAAAACGATGGTCTGTTGAACGTCGGGTGTTTGGGGCAATGCATTTGGAGTGGTGCTAGTCTGTTATCCACCAACTGTGATCGCCTGCTGGCTTCCATAAGTAGTGGTGAACAGGCAAGCGCTGCGCCAAACCCACCCCCCTGAGAGCTCCAGCTTCCGCAGATTATGTGTAGATGAGAGTTAAACGTCCAGCGCTCACAGTCCTTTGCTTCTATGATGTACTGCGGACCTCCACAAATGTTGAAGTGCAGTTTTGCGAGAAAGAAAAGTGAAGGGAAATTTTTATTTTCCGTTGCACTTTCGCTGGAATGTTCTGGGTTATGAGTTCAACGGGCAGAAAATTCCTTTCGCAGTCATTGTGACCTGCCCATACATTGCTTGCAACCGTAGATCTCGCAGATCTTCATATAGTCGAAAGGCGAGGCGTCATCGGCGTTACCGATCACATCCTGGAATTGAAACATCGTCAATCATTTCTAAAAAGCGGAAATTGAAGCGCCTCCAGTGTTGGCCAACTAATTTTGGAACGCGCCATACATCCTACTTCAGACTGTACCTCTTGCACAGTTTCATATCTAGTCACTGCTCTTTGAAAAGGAAGTGAAATCACCTGAAATTCCGGATTTTTGGTCCGCATGCTGATTTTGTTTGGCTTCGCAAAGGCCCGCTGTCCATAATGCATCACAGACGTATAAGTATACGGTACATTGTAAGTGGTAGCCTTGGACGGTGACACTTTCGTAAATTGATCGTGGTATTCTTAACATTTTTCATGATACTACTGATAATTTCCTATTATTCTCAGATTTTGGACTTGGTCGAACTATTTATTTATTCATTTATCTATTTCTTTACTTTATTTATTTGATTCAGTGATTTATTCATTTTTAGCTATTTAATCGCTGACCACATTCGCTTGACCCGATTTGGGTCGACTTCTTTATTCTTTGCAGTCGAGGCAGCTCCTTCCGCTTGAGAAATTTCTGGCAGCAAAATAATATAAATATACAAAATATAAATATGCAATATACAACGCCCTCGGAATTTTCTGCTTTGGTACGAACGACTCCCCATCCTATCGATTCACCGCAGTGGAGATCAGAGTTTCCGCTCAAGCTCAAAGGGAGAACGAGCGTGGGTGACCTTTCCGTTCCCTTGCGGCGTGGGTGAACCACTTTCAAACATGTTAAGTGCGTCCTCCAGCTCCAGCTTGCACTTCATCTGACATGCCCCCTCCAAGTTCATCAGAGCCCCACTAATTGTTTGCCGAGCTATAAAGCATACTCTAACTACTGGAACCAATACTCTAATTTCATTTTCAAAGTTTCAAAATTCTTCTCAACAGCTCAACTGACCTTTAGCGATATTTTCAAAGATAACATCGATGTATTCGTCGCGATCGTATCTCTGATGTTCATGCCATAAGCCGAATGACATGCATCAACTCGTGCATAACAGTAGGCGTCATCATGCATCTGAATACATCCCATACTTGAGGGCAAAGTAGGGACGTTTCCAAGTCAGCGTTCAGACTTCGCGACGGCGACGCTTCGGTCGCGCGTCCGACGCGATCGCGCTTGAAAGCATGCGCCTTGATCGCGATCGAATCGCCACCGTCGCGACGTCTGAACGATGTAAATAAATTAATAAACTTACGTTGCATTTTTGCTCGATTCGAGTTGCACAAGACCTCTACCGCTTACACGTCCGACATTCGTAATGCATCTGAAACTCACAAAGATTATTTCAATAGCAATCTGTGAAACTTCCCTGCTCATTTACAGTTTCTGACATAATGATGTAATTTTTAATGCACTACTTTAAACGAGGCAGTTCGCGACGGAGGAGGGAGGAGCACTCTACACTTTTGCTACTCCATCGACCTGTGACCCATCTAGAGAGCCATTTCGTGAGCTTACAAGAGTTGACAGGTTTTACCATGGTGGCTCGACGAGCTTGCTCCAGCTTCACAAGAGTTCACAGGTTTCACCAGGGATTTGTTAGTCGGAACTAGAGAATAAAGCGCGAACCTTCCCCCCACCCCATCCGTCGCCAAACTGCGCACTTTTAACTCACCCTTCGCCTTCTTTGTTCACCAAATCGATATAGTCCTCTTCATCGTTCCGTTCGGTGAATCGAATACAGGTGTTTTTTGCGATTCGCTTCATCGCTTCAGCTATCGCGTCTTCTTCAGCAGGTTCTTTAAAATAACCATCAAGAAGAGGTACCTATTGTTTGCCTTTTTTCTGTTCATTTCTCTTGTTTCAAATGTAGAATCCACTTGTACTACACTAATTCAAGGCAGTTGGCACGATAAATCCTCCAAGGAGTAGGACTAATACGCCTGGCAGGACGGAATTCCGCGACCCTGAGCAGGCGCTGCATAATGCCTTTTCCAAGGAAGGTGCCCTTATAAGGGCCCTATCAAGCCACAACTTTACGTCCCAAACGCCCGCCACGCCCGCCCGTCCCAAATGGACCGTTCCTGACGCTCGAATTGATTCATTTGCTAAGCAAATTATGAAGCGAAGGGATTGGTATGAAGCGGCCGTGATGCTGCATGGATATATGAGTACACATATGCAGCCGTACCTTCGGTAGCGGTTATTGGCAAGATGCCTACGGGAAACTCGTCCAAAATTGATTACTAACACATTGAGAACGGAGGCTCTTTCTTCGCAGGATTTTGACCGTTTCACTCCGTTCTTTCGCCATTTCCCCACTATATAGCGCCCTACTAGCATTTTAGGCCGAGCACCAAATCATCGTGCCAACTGCCTTTAAGCACACATGCTACAGTTGACGACGCCGCAATCATGGGGCGGGACAAGGCCGCCTCTGGGTATCTTTTTCCACCGATAGTGATCGGTTAGTGTTTGACTGGGAAAGCAAACAGCCAATGATGATGCTCACCATGTGTATAGAAGGGAGGCGCCCCTCCTCACGGAAATTCGCACCCGTCGTTAGAACGCCCCTTATTGAGCTCTGATAAGAACGACTTCTCAAACTCACTAAATGGTCCTGTAATCGTGTACGGTATGCGGATGTTTCCCATCTTCGTCAGTGAGAAGCCATTTCTTGGTCTCATAACTGTTCAGGGAATGACTGTACGCTTTCCTAGAAATGCGAGATTTTTTATTGATTTACCGGAATCGAGCCAGATTTCAGATGGAACCACATGATTTTCTACCGAATACAACAACTATTGGAACATACGTGCCATTCTTTTCAGATTGCGAAGTTGCAGGATATCCCCTTCACCAGGATCATTGAAGATGTCTATTGGTTTGGCCTGAAATGTTTCATTACCTTCCAGTTAGTTATTTTTGAGACCATTTCCTGACGTCTCGAAATTACTTGGCAACTCCTGTCCCCCCCCCCTGCCTCCTCCCCCGGTGGAATTACGCAAAAGGAAAATTATTCAGTCAAGAATGTTCTACCGCTTCTACAATAAACGACAGAAGGGGAACTAACAGTTGAATGCATACCCCAGACTCCCATGGCGGAATCGGCCCAACTCCAGTTAGTCATTTTTGGACCATTTCCTGACGTCTCGAAACTACTTGGCAACTCCTGGGTGGAGTTACGGAATAAGTAAATTATTTTGTCAACAATGTTCCCCCCTTACTCGCGGCAAGAAGGGGAAATAGTAGTTGAATGCACACTCCAGACCGGTCTCCACGGTGGAATCTTCTCAACTCGTGTGCCTTCTTCGCCGGTGTACAATGGTTTTCTGAGACGGTGTAAAGGAGAGGCACATCAATGGCGAAGCGCAATGCTAGGCTCCAACAACATACAGTCTTGTTCGCAGCGGATGCAGAGGCGTGTCAAGAGGGCAGGGTTTGGCGCGATTCTCCACAATTCGCTGTCGCTTAGGCTGCGTTTATACTTTGCGGCAGCGTAGCGTAGCGTAGCTTCCAGCGTACGCCAGCGGCAGTGCCGAAGAGAGGATGCATATCGATCTAGCTTCACCAGCGTCACCAGCGGCACGCTAGCGTTTCTCCAGCGTTTCACCAGCGTTTTGCTAGCGTTTGCAGCGGCAGGGGAGTAGAGACTATGGGAGAGCTGGAGGGTACAAAACACATCGATTGCGCGTCTCTCACTCGCCCTTAGTCTCTACAATGCACATCGCTTCTGCGTCTCCGACGGCCACATAGTCTCTACAATACACGTCGATTCCGCGTCTCTGCCGGCCACATGGTCTCTACAATACACGTCGATTCCCGCGTCTCTCACGGCCCATAGTCTCTACTCCCTGCCGCTGCAAGCGCTAGCAAAACGCTGGAGAAACGCTCGAGAAACGCTGGTGAAGCTAGATCGATAGCTATGCTTCCCGTGCCCTCGCTACGCCAGCGTGCGCTAGCGTGCCGCTACGCTGTGCTGCCGCAAAGTATAAACGCAGCCTTACCCCCTTCAACAGGGATAGAGAACGGGGCTGGTGTCGTGCCAATCTCAGCCACCTTGACGCGGCCCAGCATCCTCAGCGAACAAGACTCCATGCGATGATTGTAAAATGTGCCTTGAGGATGTATGGAATGAAACTAACTCTTGCCCAAACCACTTGAACAACAGCGAGTGTGATGAGTAGATGGCCAAGCATGGGGAAGTTGACGAGGACACCTGTAAGTTATTTATGATTTGTACCACAGTATCTGAACAAATTTTAAGTTCAAATGAGAGCTTGGAAAAAGAGTAATCCGACAATTTGGGTAGCTCTTGGAAAAACGTCTTACTAGCGACTGAACTGACTGCTTGGCTATGCGAAGTCAAAAACGTCAGTCGCCGAAGAAGAGTCCTACTAGTGCTAATAAGGTCATATCTTTACTAGTTGGACAGGCCTTTCGGATGAGTCTGTTGAGTTAAAGCAAGCCATAGAACTTGGCACCATATGTATACCCCTTACTGTCTCGGCCATTTTAGGTGTGGTCTTTTTTTCCAAAACTTTACCGTCGGAGCAATCGCAACCCCTCGAGAGTGCCTCAAAGGTGCACCGTTGTGAGTAAGAAGAAGTAGAAACATTTCTGACATTGGGAGCTTGGGATTGCGAAACGATCTCAAGCTCCTCAAATGTCAGAAGTGCTCCCTTGAGCAAATCGGCCCTTAAATCCAGGCTCTTGGGAATAGTCCCACAGTTACAACTGAAATAGCGCACAATGGCCGCTGATGCAAAAGCTGTGAACCTTGGATTACTTGTCTCTCACAGCACAGTTGGTGAATCATCGAGCTTCAGAAACCAGTGAAAATGCTTCAGCGTGATTGAGTGCTCCTGATAGCAAAAAAAAACATTGTGCTACCACGTCGAAGCTCCCACGCAACACATCTTTTTGGTACGGCGTGTGAACTCGGGGAGGGTGAATGGAAGTTGCCTCATGTAGATTCGGTCTGTGGAGTGAAACATCAGTTGTCCTAAAACTACCTCAATGTGTGAGTGCTGTAAAACTATGGTACAAAAGTTGAGCTGAGAGTATAGGAGAGCAACTGAAATGCAATGAATTCGCTTGTTCAGATTAACTACTAGTCTCTATTTTCACCAGTTTTTGCTGGACGTGAGATGTTTTACGTGCAGACCTACGTATTTGCTCAATTCTGTTTGGAACGGGATAGTGAGGACAGTCGCCACGATGAATATTTGAGACGAGTAGGAATAACACGCCTGGCAGGACGGCATTCCGCCGCACTCTGCAGGCGCTGCGTCCTTTTATAGAAAAAGAAACAAGAAGAATGAAGGTCCCTTTATAGGGTCCTATCAAGCTGCAACAAATCGACCCAGACGCTTGGTGCGCCCTTTCTTGAAAGTGGGCCAATTTGTCGGAATCCTTTATTGCTATCACATAGGTGGTTTATATACAGTGTCATGAAGCAAAGACATTTAATAATGTGCGCCAGAAAGAAAGCAAAGGCTTAATCAGTGAGCTATGGAGACATAATTAAAATGAATCATTTCAAATATCTGAAAAGAAAACATTTTAACAATCTTATGGAAGGCGAATGAATCATCAAATTTCTTGCTAATGTTTTGCAGAATTTTATGCAGAATGCAGAAAACTCCCGGAGGAGGAATGATTGCGCTTACATACTCTTTTTGATTTCTGATCGATTTCGTAAGGAGTTAAAGATTGTAACAATCAAGAAAAGTGCGAGTAGAGTGAAAATGAAATTCAATCCAATCAAAGAGGAAAGGAAATTGGTAGCCATTGAAAAGGATGTCTTCAACAATGAAATCACATTACTAATTGAAATGCTACCAAAATTTGAATCACTTTCGTAGTAGTTTGTTTTCAAAGTGAAGACTTGGCATTCGAGAGTTTCCACTGATGACGAAATTCGTCAGACCTCCGGGGCATCGTAACGTGCAGTTTTCTTTCACTGTAGGCGTTTCGAAGTTGAATGTTATTGTGTTCACATGGCCTGTTCTCGTACATACGGCCACTTGTTGCTGAGAACCGCAACTGATTTCTGCTGTTATTTCGTTAGCGCTTGAAGTGGCAGGAAAATTCCCGCCTTTGAGACAGTGGTAACATCTGATGACGTCTGAGACGACCGCTATGCATGTACATTTTCCATTAAAGAGGTTAATTTCAGTTCTTCAGCGACAAGGTGCAACTGTGTTCCTACGTTCATTTTTGCTTCCACTGATTTCCGTTTCGGTAAATCATGACGTTTTTCATGACGACGTGAAGAGATGGCTTTCTTGATGTTCTTTCTGATGTTTCCACTACTGCATGTGCAGCTTGCTCTATTCACGTCTACGGAAGACTTGCAGACATTACTGGGATTTTTGCAGTTGAATTTTTCGGCTTCCCTTTTTGTCACTACATTGCAGCTGTCCTATTGTGTGGGCGATGAGGTGTCCTGACGATACCTCCTTGGTGAGCGCGGTAGTGATGCCATCTGTGACGAACGCCGAAGAAAGTACTGGAAGTTGCGGGACTGTTGTGCCAATCAGCGTCATTCTAATGTTGTTCCAAGCAAATGTTTTTCCTGGGCGAAGAGTGAAGTTTGTTCCCTGATTGTTGTTTCCATTCTGGAGGACAATTTGGACCTCGACGGCCAGCTCCCAAGCTGGGCACTGAAAACCTCGTAGATGGTAGATGATTCAGGGTGGGCGTAGTATCTGTGAGGTTATTTGCTCTTAACTCCACACAAGTTTGGCAAGAAATTTTATTTGCTGGCCGACGTTTCGGTGAGTTCACCTGAGCGTGGTAGCTTCCTTTTATGTACGATGGTCCTATCCTTGCATAAAGGATAGAAAATTGCCCTTCTCAAGCACTTCCTGGAAAACTAATCGCCCAGGCACCATCCACTTCAGCAGTAATTTCAGGTAATACTCTCCTAGAAAGGTCCAACCAACAAATCCATTCAGCGGTGTACCTTTGGAAACAACGTTTTCGAATGCGCACATAGAAATTCCTTGAATGGGTAATGTGGGGAGCCTTGAAGGAGAAATAGAAGGATTCTGAGTAGAAACCTTACTGAAGTCAAGCTCATGACTGAAAAAGCTATGGCCATGGTTAGCAGAAATTGGCTGTGCACAAGAGGAACGGGGAAAACGGCACGCTGGTGAACCTCGGGTGTTTCAGGGGACTGGATTTGGAGTGGTGCCAAGCTGTTATCTACCAACTGTGATCGTCTGCAACCTCCCATAAGTGGTGGTGAACAGGCTAGCGCTGCGCCAAATCCAGCCCCTGAGAGCTCCAGCTTCCGCAGATTATGTGTAGATGAGAGTTAAACGTCCAGCGCTCACAGTCCTTTGCTTCTATGATGTACTGCGGACCTCCTCAAATGTTGAAGTGCAGTTTTGCGAGAAAGAAAATGAAGGGAAATTTTTATTTT